AAAAAAAAAAAAAAAAAAAAACTGTAACCCAACCTCTGCGAGTCCACTGCTCAAGGCCTCTTGGGCGTGGCTCCAGGTCATGGTCCTCAAATTTTGCTCAGAGTAAATCTCTTTAAAATTAAAAAAAAAAAAAATGTGAAGGAAAAAGAAGGAAAAATTATAGTATGTCCTTTCTCCTACTGGAGCTAAATAGATTTTTTCCTCTGTTAGTTTCCCTTCAACCACAGAGAACGTTGTCTGTTACTTTGCTAACAAGAGAGGCCCCCACACTCCTGTTGGCTCTTTCTACACCGCTGCACCCACCAGGGGATTTGCATACTGCCCCCTGGGGAGGATCTGCCCCTAGAAGTCTGAGATAAAAGCTCAAATCTAATCTTGACTGGACTGATCAGGACTCCTCAGTCCAACTTCTGAAAATGAGGCTCCCTGCTCTCAGCTCCTGGGGCTGCTGGTGCTCTGGGTCCCTGGTAAGGACAGAAGGAGATGAGGAAGGAGAATGGGGTGGGGAGAGCTCTGGGGCTCACTGCCTCCCATGTGTGTTCTGTGCATGTGTTAGATGGGCACACCTTGTCCTCCAGGATGGGTCAAGTCAGGGTTAGATCTGAGAGAGAGAGGAAGGTTCCCGAAGGAGCAGGGCCCTGTGCTCTGGTGAAGACTCTGACACAGAAAGAGGGGATTGTGTAGGGGACTTCTAGAGGTTCTCTCCTGACTTGAAAATCTCTGTTCTCTTTGAAATTGAATGTTTTGGGAGAATGAACCAAAATCACACATATGAAGTATAACTTAGTCTGAAATAACAAAAGAAAATAGTGAATATGTCTCCTAATGTGTGTACATAACCTTGCCCTTCTCTCTCATTCTTCCAGGATCCAGTGGGGAGATTGTGATGACCCAGACGCCACTCTCCCTACCTGTCACCCTTGGAGAGCCGGCCTCCATCTCCTGCAGGTCTAGTCAGAGCCTCCTGCATAGCAATGGAAACACCTATTTGAGTTGGTACCTGCAGAAGCCAGGCCAGTCTCCACAGCTCCTGATCTATTTGGGTTTCACCCGGGCCTCTGGGGTCCCAGACAGGTTCAGTGGCAGCGGATCAGGCACAGACTTTACACTGAAGATTAGCAAGGTGGAGGCTGAGGATGTCGGGGTTTATTACTGCATGCAAACTATACAAGTTCCTCCCACAGTGGTAAAGCCCCAAACAGAAACCTCCTTGCTGGGTGGCCCAGCTGCCCACCAGTGTTGTTTGCCTGGTGAGCAGGCGCCACAGAGCACGTTGTAGGGAACCTCAAGGAACGGTCAGCAGGCGACTGATCTGGACCATGAGGGCTGTGGCTTCACCTTGGCGGGCACATGTAATACCTGTCAGCTGTGACAGCCTTGGCCTGGCAGAACCTCCAGGAGAATGGAGGGGGTTCCAGTGCCCTGTGAGAAACCAGACAGGACAGAAGAGAAAGCTGAATGAAAGCTCACGCTAATCTTCCCTGCCTGCCCTGCATTTATTTGTCAATTAAATCCATTCAGTGTAACAGCTTTGCATGAAGTCTGACTGATAGAAATCCAAAACTAATGCATTTTTTAGATTTTATTTTGGTTGAATAGTTACTGGTGTACATGCACCCGGATCTGTTTAGTGACGACTCTCCTCCTTCCGCTCCACCCACCTTCACACTCCCCCCGCCTTTATTTTATGTTTTTTTAGCACGTCTCTCTAATAAAGGGGCAGGCACAGCATTTCATACTGCTGTTTCAGGGAGTACCCAAGTAAAATTGTCCATATTCTTGGGTTTTGACTACTAGATAGACTTTGTTAAACTATTGAAAAGCAAAAGTCATGTGTTGAAGTTTTTGATCAGTGTCAGTCACAGCATGTTGAAATAAAAGAAGAGATTTTTGAATTCCATATCTGGATTGTAAAAATAAATAACCAAGTCTGGAAGAATTAGAAAACATGCATTTATATACCATATTCAACACAATTTTTGAAATGTAAGATAATATAAGGTAATTTTGTCTCCCAAGAATAAGAATATTAGAATTTGGGGCAGCAGTAAAGGAGAATTGGAAGGACACGTGGTAGACACCAGCTCTTGGTGCAATACCCAGCTCCGTTGCTCACATTTGTCATTGTGGGGATGCTGGTGACATTGGGGTTGAACTACAAACCCTGATGGAATCTCATATGTATTTCTTGAAAATACTCACGGTGATGAATAGTTCCTGACTGGCCTTCAGATTGTGCCCTGATGCCACTGCAAACTCATGAGGAAGTCGTGCATCAGGCAGGGCTCACAGGTTAGCAAATTTCCTAGCCAAATGCACTTTAGGTCATATGAAGCATTCCTAGTCATCCAAGTAGGACACTGGTGAGTTTCCTAAATTGATTCTTCCCCCATCATATATCTGGATGTGACTGGAAAGAGAACGGTCATTCAGGAGAGACCTTGTATGAAAATAATTCAGAGGTTGACCAGGGTGGAGCTGGGGCTCGGAAGATCAGCAGGAGATGCAGGGACAGGAGCCCAGGGCCCACGTCTGAGACATACATTAAGGACAATCAGTGCAGCTTTATAGAAGGAAACCCACAGGAATGAGGGAGGTTTAACTCTACCTTTCTGGTCCAGCCCCAGCCACTGCTCCTGACGCAGACCTCAGCAAATGTCCCAGGGAGAAATCCAGCCTGGTGTCACAGGTTCAGCCCTTGTCCAGTCTGCTAAGGCAGCTCCACGCACCTGCCAGACACAGCTGGATTCTCCTTGCAATAAAATCCTCTGCTGAGCCAACCCCAAATCCCCGACCACTCTCAAATCTGGCCAATTTCACTAAAGAACACAATGGCAGGAGAACATCAGCTCACCTACAAAAGGTATTTCCTCACTGGAATGTTAGGTCATCTGCTCTGTATTTCCTCTATAGTGCTCTCATGTCATCACAAACATGACTTTTTAAATTTATTTCTTGTTCTCTTCTGCTTTTGTTATGAAATTTTTGTTTGTCTTCTAAGACCTATAGCATTATTACTGAATGTGAAAGTTATAATTTTTTACTTCAAATTAAGTGCAAACTAATATGACCTCTATGGAAAGTAGTATTCAGATACCTCAAAGAACTAAAAGTAGTAATACCATTTGATCCAGGAATCCCAGTACTGGGCATCTACCCAAGGAAAAAAAGACATTCTGTAATAAAGACATCTGCATGCGAATGTTTATAGCAGCACAATTCACAATTGCAAATATGTGGAAACAACCCAAGTGCCCATCACTACATGAGTGGATTATTAAAATTTGGTATATGTATACCATGGAGTACTACTCAGCCATGAAAAACAATGGTGATATAGCACCTTTTGTATTATCCTGGATGGAGCTGGAGCTCATTCTCCTAACTGAAGTATCACAAGAATGGAAAAACAAGCACCACATATACTCACCATCTATTTGGTACTAATTGATCAACGCTTACGTGCACATATGGAAGTAACATTCTTCGGATGTCAGGCAGGTGGGAGGGGCAGGAGGGGATGGGCATATTCACACCTTATAGGTGCGGTGCATACCGTCTGGAGGATGGGCGTGCTTGTAGCTGTGACTCATGGAATATATGTAACATGAATATTTGTACCCCAGTAATATTCTGAAATAAAAAAATAAATAATAATAATAATAATGAACCAAAAGCCTGCAAAAAATTATCCTTCCTATACCATTCAGTGGAGACAAGATGAGTAAAACCTAGAAAGATTGGTTGATGGGAGTCATTCAAGGTCATTCACATAGTTGAAAAACATCACAGAGAATTCTGGTGACTCCTTTTTTCAGCAAAGCTGTTCCTCAGTAGTTCTAAAGATGGACCCATAGTGCTGCTATGAACATTCAAGTACAAGCTTTTGTGTGCACATATGTTTACATTTTTCTTGGGTATATATTAATCCCTAGCAGTGGAATTGCTAGATCATGTGGTAACTCTTTGTTTAAACACTTGAACTGTTAGACTGTTTTCCAAACATGATGCACAATTTTCCATTCCTACTAGCAGAGTAAATATTCTATTTTACTGCCAACCTGGGAAATGAGAAGGACAAACCTCTCAGTGAGTGGGTGTTCAGAGGAGCTCAGGATGTAAGAAAACAAATCCAGGGTACTCCGAGATGTTCATTAAATAGTTCTTAAAGTTTTCGTGGTCTTACCAAACCTGGGCACATGTTTTTTTCTCCTCAGTGCATGTCAACTCACACCCAAGGTTGTTTAGAGGAAGGACAAAGCTGTTCCTCAGTAATTCTATAGATGGACTCACAATGCTGCTATGAACATTCAAGTACAAGTTTGAGGAGATAGGGTGAGGAGATAGAAAAGATAAGGAAGAATTGGCTCAAGACATAAACTAGGGAGAACAAATCAGAATGAAAGATGGAGAGCTGAAGAATGTGAAATGAAAACTGTCTGTGGGAAGAACAGAAAATTGGAGCAAGAATTTCCTTGTTGTCACACAGTGTGTCTGTCCTGAGGATCTTGGACTTGTGGACTGGTGCTTAACGTGGAAGGACTGAGCACGGACATCTATTCCTCTCACCAATTCACCTGTTATAACCCCTCGCGTAGAGTAGAATCCTCTTGAGAAATCAGATGTTTTATGTTTTTGCATTTATTAATGGACGAGCACTTAGAGTTAATCTCAAACAAGAGAGAGTGGAAATAAATTGAGGGATCAAAATATAAGTGTAAAAGCATATATTTATTTTATCTATTTTTTGTTAAGCCTGTATAAATCTATAATTTTGAATTTCAAAGTCAAGAAAAATATTGGACATTACATTTACTGTAAATTTAGTATGATGGCAAAAGTTATTCCCCTTCAACTCTGCTTCCTATTTTTGCATGAGTAATATTGTCATTGTATACACAGATTACTTTATTATCATCACATTGTATTGCATTACATACTTTATATTTGAGGAATTATTCCCACAAAATGACATTGAATTTATTAACAGATTTTCAACTTAGGTAGATTAACTTTCAGGTTTTGGTGATTTCTGTTCTTCCCAATAGCCTTTTACAATCACAAACCACAGTTTCCTCTTCTTGAGCACGCCACTCTATTTCAACTCTTGGTCAGCCGAACTAAATCTTTCAAGGGTTTCTATTTTTGAAAATCATTATGTATATTATAACTTTTTGTAGTTTTAAAATAAAAATTTTCTTCATATTTGATTTGTTTAGTTCAATATAAAATGCATAGATTATAATTTCTCTTTTTCTCAAAACTTTGTTATTTTTTAAGATATCATTACATTGATTACTAGAAATTAGTTTTGTAGACTGGGACTCTGAAGCAAGCCTGATTTTTATCCCTGAAAGAAAGAATCCTTGGGGATTTGGGATATTTATTTATTCATTTATTTTTAGACAGAGTCTCGCTCTGTTGCCCCAGGTGGATCGCAGTGGCTTAATCATAGCTCACAGCAACCTCAGACTCCTGGGATCAAGCAATCCTCCTGCCTAAGCCTCCCAGGTATGTGGGACTACAGGTGTGTGCAACCACACCCGGAAAAATGTTCTATTTTTTGTAGAGATGGCATCTCACTCTTGCTCAGGTTAATCTCGAACTCCTGACCTCAAGCAGTATTCCCTCTTCAGACTCCCAGATTGCTAGGATTACAGACGTTAGCCACCACACCTGGCCTGTTATATATTTTTTAAATGTAAGAAACTATTTGTGTGTTTTCTCATTTTACAAATGTTTGACTCAAATTGTATGACACATTGACATGTAATTGTTGCCAACTAATAGCAGAAAATGCCTGTGAAAACGTAGTGCTTTTTTTTTTCTCTTTTCTGTGAGGCTCGCTTAGCAGGGTCTTTGGGATGTGGTCTTGTAGGAACTGAGATGGTGAGCTCGTACTCCGCTGTCTGCTCAGGGGTCCTCAAGGCTGTGAAAACAATTCTCAAATAGAACAACGGGTGGTTAATCAAATAAGAGGCTATTGTGCTGTGATATTTCCCTTCAAGTGGGCAATTATATGCTGTGAGTTTATTCCTCTGTTTTATGTCAGGTAGTTTATTAGCAAGGCCGTCCTATCAGTACATGTTCATAAAGTTATTCATTGAAGCACTGTTTTTAATTATGAGCAAAATGAAAATGTCCAAAATGTCCACACATAAAATCATCATTGAAAAACTACGGCACCTCCACACAACAGAGTAACTTGCAGTTGTACAATAAGGAGGAAGATCTCCATGAAGTGATATGGAGTGATCTCTAGGATATATACAATATTAT